TGGCTGTGAGTGGGGTCCCGGAGCTGTTGTTGCCTGGGAAGGGGGTCCGGCCCTGACTGTGAGTGGGGTCCTGGAGCTGTTGTTGCCTGGGAAGGGGGTCCAGCCCTGGCTGAGTGGGGTCCCGGAGCTGTTGTTGCCTGGGAAGGGGGTCCCGCCCTGGCTGAGTGGGGTCCCGGAGCTGTTGTTGGCTGGGAAGGAGGTCCGGCTCTGACTGTGAGTGGGGTCCTGGAGCTGTCATTGGTTGGGAAGGGGCTTATTCCGGGGCCGTCCCCAGGGCTTCTTTTCAGGGTGGACCGTGTGAGGTGCAGCCATTACCCTGAGAGCATGAGATGAAGGTGCTGGCAGGTGCTTGCAGCACTGGAGGCAGGTTGTCCTGATTCTGCGTCTGTCCTTTGGGTACTTGGAAAGCATCTTCATGCCTATGTCCACCTTCTGCACTCCCACCACGTCCTGTGGCCTTGTGTGCTCCTATCATGTGGCCGACCCTGTGCTGTCTCACAGGGGCTGGAGCTGGTGCTGAGCTGGGTGCGTCTCAGGCCCACCACGTCCGCAAACAAGGGAGTGGTCTGGCGGCCGAGGCTTACGGGCTCTGAGACCCATCAGGGAACAGACGGGTCAGGCTGGGAGGTCTCAGGTGTGTGAGCCTGCGGGGCAGAGGAGCTCCTGAGGGAAAATGCATCCCAGGGGCCTCGCAGGGTGGGGCCTCACGGAAGAAGGAACACTAGAAGGACAGTGGGGATGGAGCCCCCTCTCTCTACAGGCCCGGCCGGCTCATCTGTGGGGTGTGCAGAGTGGGACCTGCACCTCCAGGGTTGCCACTGGACCGACTGAGATAGAGCCTGTGAGAGGCGGGTAGTGGAGTGTTCCCAAATTTACTGAGGCTTGACAGAGGGACAAGCCAAAGCATGAGGCTGCCAGATGCCAGGCTGGGTTGTTCAGAGGGTATCCTGTGGAGGTTTTCTGAGACACGGAAATATAAAACGATCTTCCTTGGAGGAGAGAACTGGGGCTGGGCTGCGCTGTCCTGGTGTGAGGCAGGGTGGCCAGCCAGAGGCCCAGGCCGCTCCCGGGAGCCCCGGCCATGCTTGGCATGTTCAGACCCTGCAGCCATGGATGCTGCGGTGGAACCGGGGTCTGCGGGGACCCAGAGCTTCTCGCTTTGGTGGCTGGGCCAGGATCCTTAGCAGGGCGTTGTGTCTCTGGGGTGCAGAACAAAAATGTAAGGAGTCACCAACGTTTCCTTCCTCACTCTGCCCTCGCACGTGCTCCGCAGGAGCTTGGACATCCTGCGCGCGTGACTCCCTGGGAGTTTGCATGCATCTGTCAGCAGAGGTTCCCGTGCTGTGTGGGTGTTCACCGCGTGGGTGGCGCAGTCGACGATGCACGGAGGTCAGTGGGAGGCGTGGCATGGTGTGGCCTTGAGGGGATGCTGGATGGAAGACAGCTGAGTGGCCAGTGCCTGACAAGCCCTGTCCTGCCCGGGATGGGAGGGGGACGCATTTGCCCCCCCCATGAGTATGGTTCCGGAATGAAGTGAATATATAAGCAGGTAATGATGGTTACAGATGTGTATTTACACATATAAATCCATGCTAGGTAAACGATATCATACAAATATATCCTGATATGTATTTTCATTGAAAGTCTACCCCAAAGTACCAAGCCTGTTTAAGGTACAGGAAACTGTTTAGAGTGGACATCACCAGACTTTGGGGCCCCACATGTGCCCTTGGGCCTGTGATGGTGCCGATTCTGGCCCACACCAGGGCGCCTGTCCTCCTCTGTCTGGGGACAGCCAGGAATCTGCACTTCCAGGCTTTCCAGGGGTCCCAGTGGACAGCTCATGGATCACACTTTAGAGGCTTGGATTCAATTCATATGGGTGCACACACATGCCTGTCCACACACACTGTAAGCTAAACATAGACACGCGTGTGTTCCAAGCTGTAGCTCGTACAGGTGCACACACATGCCTGTCCACACGCACTGTAAGCTAAACATAGACACGCGTGTGTTCCAAGCTGTAGCTCGTACAGGTGCACACACATGCCTGTCCACACGCACTGTAATATAAATGTAGGCACACGTGTTCCAAGCTGTAGTGTGTACATGTACACACACACGTGTGCGTACACACACTGTAAGCTAAATGTAGACACATATATGTTCCAAGCTGTAGTTCGTACAGGTGTGCCCACACGCCTGTCCACACACACTGTAAACTAAATGTAGACACACATGTGTTCCAAGCTTTAGCTCGTACAGCTGCACACACACATGCCTGTCCACACACTCTGTAAGCTAAATGTAGACACGTGTGTCCAAGCTGTAGCTCATACAGCTGCACGCACACGCCTGTCCACCCACACTGTAAGCTAAATGTAGACACTTGTGTCCAAGCTGTAGTTCATACAGCTGCACACACCCACCCATGCCTGTCCACACACACTGTAAACTAAGTGTAGGCACACGTGTTCTAAGCTATAGCTCATACAGGTGCACACACATGCCTGTCCACACACACTGTAAGCTAAATGTAGACACACATGTGTTCCAGGCTGTAGCTCGTACAGCTGCACACACGTGCCTGTCCACACACACTGTTAGCAAAATGTAGGTGCACGTGTGCTCCAAGCTGTAGCTCATAGTCTCTCTCATGATGCGATGCCACTGCCTTGGTGGCGTGTGAGACATGAGATGTTGATTTGTGAGAACGGGGCTCTTCCGCACCCAACCAGCTCTGATGTGCCTCTCACCATGAGAACTGGCCATGGACCACGGTGAAAGTGAGGTGCACATTGCTGATGGAGCGTGACGTTCGTGCCTTCACTGCAAAGCCTCCTGAATGCCTTACTTGAAGGGAGACAGTGTAGACTTACCCCTTCACCTGAGCATTTTGATGACTTAGTTTTGATTTTTTAATATTAATTTTTAGAGACACAGTGCCACCATGCCTGGCTAATTCTTTGTTTTTAAATTTTTTTGTAGAGATGAGGCTTTGCCATATTGCCCAGGCTGGTCTCGAGTGACCCTCCAGCCTGGGCCCCCCGAGTGTGGGGATTACAGGTGTGAGCCCCATGCCAGGCTGGTGCCCCATTCTGAATTAAACTGTGGGAAATAAGCTGCAGTGATGACGGACTGACCTCTGCTCACAGGCGCCCTGGTCCTGGGGCCTGTTCCCGCGGTGAAGGCTATGCTCTGCTTGTGTTTCAGGGAAGGTGGCCATTCAGAAGGAGGACTTGCAGAAGTATCACAACAGGGACACCTGGTTCCAGCTGCAGCACGTGGACGCCGACTCAGAAGTGCAGGTGAGACCCTCAGTGCAGCCCGGGTCAGCCCCACCTGTGGTTACAGACATGGATACGGGCTGTAGCCTTAACAGGCAGTAACACCAAGAACACTGTGTGTGTTGGCCAGTGTGTGCTCAGAGTACGCGCGGGCTCGGCTCGTGGATTTCCCTTTGGCTGCTGCCACCCTTCGTCGTGCACAGTCGAGGCAGCCGTAAAATGTAGGTACACGTGTGTTCCAAGCTGTAGCTCATACAGGTGCATACACATGCCTTTCCACACACAGTGGGAAAGGACAGGAACGCATAACTGAGGGCAAAGAGAAAACACATGTGAGGAAGGGCCAAGCCAGCGTCAGCCCACTGAGACCTTCGCTTCCCCACGGCTCGCTGGGTGGGCTGCACCCCAGCACTCGGCACCAAGAGGGGTCTGAGCTGAGAGAGCACGCTGGTTTCCCAAGTGTCCATTGTTGGAAGCAGCCGGGGCTCACCCTGGCTTTCCGGGGTCATGTGCCCACTGGGGCTGGCCCTGCCCCATTCAGTGGGAGGAGCTCGCCCCACCTCCCCATGCAAGACTAGGGGCTCCGGTGCTGGGGCTGGTGTCCTAGACCCCTGTGTTCATGGCTGCTCGGGGATGCACTGTGCCCAGCTGTGGCAGCTCCACGCTTGCCTGTAAGAGAGAGCAGTGGGGATCAGCCTGTCTGAGCCCAAGCCTGCACCAGCTCCTGTGGGGTCACTCTGAGCCCTGGTCCGTGATACAGAGCAGCTGCAAAGGCCACAAGCAAGCGGCATGGCGGTGTGACCTGGGATGTGGAGGGTTTCCTGGGTGGGTCCTCAGCTGGGACCACAGTGAGTGTCTAAGTGTAGGGTCCCAACACAGGCAGCAGGCTCAGGGCCAGCTCCCTCATCTGTTTGCTGCCAACATCCTCTGCAGGCCTCAGTTTCCCCATCTGTGAAGTGGGTTTTGTGCAGCATTCGGGAATGATGCATGTGCTCCTCGATGGTGCCTGCTGCATTGTGGAGCAGTAGTGGTGACTGTCATTTTCACACCTGGAGGCTGGTGTCCTGGACAAATCCCCAAAATAGATTCCTCGTGAGAACTTTGCTGAGACTTCAGCAGAGGCAACTCTGTGGGTCGGAGGGAGGCTCTGTGCCTGCAGGTCCAGGGCAGATTTGGGCCGAAGGTCTGGATAGCCTGGTGTCCCCTGGGAACCCTCGTTCTCTGTGCTTCACTGGGATAAGGTTATCATCCGCTGAGGTCACAGGCTGTGCTCGCTCCCATGGCCAGCAAAGGGTTCATTCATAAGGTTGACCGTGAGCCCAGCCAGGGGGCGGGGTGAGGCCCTTGATGGAAATGAGGGAGTGGAGCCGAGAGGCCCCAGGGATGGCCTTGCCCCAAGGGACTGTGTCCTAATTGTGCTCCACAGTTAATTAACCTCTGCTTCCCGGGAGAGCGCTGGCTGGGGAGCCACAGTTGCTGTGGAAAGCGAAGGACTGTGATTACTGGCAGAACTAGCGACTGTCCTTGTAGCCTTGGAGCACAAGGGCCCCAGCGCCCTGCTCAGTGGACCTCAGCGTCCCAGCAGAAAGGCGGGTTTCCCACACGCTGCCCAGGAGACAGGGCTTGATGACTGGGCTGCTCCTGCTTGCACTTCAGTGAGGTCCCTGCCACTTCTATTCTGGGATCTCTGTCATGAGGCCTCTGAGCAGCAGGCAGAGCGTGGCCTTGTCCTTTTCCTCGGATTCAAGTTTGGTTTTGTGAGTTTGTTTTTATTGGCAGCTTTAGCTTTTCCTCTTTCTTGCTTTTTTTTTAACTGATTTAATTTTGAAATGGTTATAGATTTGTAGGAAGGCGCAAAAACAGTACACAGGAGTGGCGAGGGAAGATCCCCTCCCTGCACTGAAAACGAAGGCTGTGCTCCCTTCTCCCGCTTCCCAGCACCACTGTATGTAGCCAGCACAACATCAGCCAGGACGTGGACACGTGTGCAGTCCACGGACGTTATTCAGATTTCATCTGCTCACAGGCACATGTTCCTCTGTGTGTGTCTCTGTGTGTATAGCCTCTGCTATTTTTTCCAGTTTTTTATGGGCTAAAATGTAGACATCACGAAATTTACCATTTTAACCATTTAATGTCTAATTCAGCAGCATAGTATTAAGTATATTGATAATATTGTGCAACCACCACCACCCCTCACCTCCAGAACTCCTTTGATCTTGCAAAACTGATCCTCTGTTCCCTCTGTCCCCTGGCTAGAGATTTATTCACACGCCCCTGTCCCCCTCTCGCAGCCCGGTAGCCCCATCGCACCCTGTCTCGGACGCTGGCCACTCCTTGTGCTGATGGGAGTGAGCTCTGCCCTGCTGGTCTTTTTGAGGCTGGATGACATCTTCCTGGTTGCCTGTGTGGTCTCAGAACCTCCTTCCTTCGAGGCTGAGGAATGACCTGTGGTGCATAGCACGTGCTGTTGATCCAGCCACCTGTCCACGGACATGAGGGGCTTCTGCCTTTGGCTGCCATGATAGTCATTGCAACTTCATCGCAGGGTAGATTGTGTAACCACTATCACGATCAGCATTCAGACGTTTCATCTCCACAACACTGTAAATAAGAACGCGGCAGGTTGATCTCACAACTGATGGAATCTCATAATTAACGCCCAAGACAGCTCACGTGCCTGTGGCCAAGCCTGGCATCCTTCAAGCCTGCCTCTCACTATCCAGAACGTGAGAATCCTGAACCCAGTGGTGTCGTCTCCCGGGAATTTGCCCTTTATGGAAGGCCAGTGCAAGCTGTTGTCTAAAGGGAAAGAGGCGGAGTCAGGGGAGGAGGTAGAGTTGGGAGGAGGCAGAGTCAGTGCTCTCTGATGCCCATTGGTCCCAGGCAGGTGCTGCCTGCCTGAGCATTTCACTGATGGAGTCAGCCCCGAGGCTACCCTAAACGTGGCTGGACAGGGAGCAGCAGTCCCACTGGCCTCCACCCAACCTTTAAAACTGCAACTCCAGGCTGGGCGTGGTGGCTCATGCCTATAATCCCAACACTTTGGGAGGCCAAGGTGGGCAGATGATTGCCTGAGATTGGGAGTTTGAGACCAGCCTAGCCAACATGGAGAAACCCTGTAAAAATACAAAATTAGCCAGGCATGGTGGTGTATGCCTGTAATCTCAGCTACTCCAGAGGCTGAGGCAGGAGAATTGCTTGAACCCGGAAGGCAGGCGTTGTGGTGAGCCAAGATCGTGCCATTTCACTCCAGCCTGGGCAGCAAGAGTGAAACTCCATCTCAAAACAACAACAACAGTGACAAAACCGCAATTCCAATCTCAGAAGCTGCCGTTTCATTGTGAGATGTCACAGTGACTGTTTTCAGGAAGGCAGGGAGTGGCCATGTGGCTCTTTGAGTCTTTCCGCTCTATGACTCCCAGGAAAAGTCCTCTATCAAACAGCGAGTGACTCAGAACCAGCCCATGGGCAAGACCAGTGAGTCACAGAAATGGGGAAAACACAATTAAACCTTTCTTGCCTCCTTCTGAAAGGGATGCGGTTGGAAGATCTGTTAAATCACTTTATTATGCAGTTATCCTCTCTGACCCTTCCCTAAGCAGGAAGATGTCAGCGTGAGATGCCAGCAGGGGCACCACCTGTGCAGCAGGGGATCCATGGTGATCCGGGCACCTGAGGGTCACTGAGCTCTGTTAATAAACTGGGTATCAAAGTGCATCTGTGACATATCCAGAAAATAGCACAGCCCTGCAAGAGATCACAGCAAACCCTGAGCCCACCATCCGCTGGAGATCACAGCGGCCCCCAAGCCCAATATCCTGTCCAAGATCACAGCAACCCCTGGGCCTGCCGTCCCATCTGAGATCACAGCAAACCCCAGGCCCAGCATCTGCCAGAGATCACAACAAACCCTAAGCCCACCCTCCCTTCCAAGATCACAGCAAACCCCAGGCCCACCATCCCATCTGAGATCACAGCAAACCCCAGGCCCGCCATCCTGTCCACCCAAGAGACACTGCCTGTTTCCTCCTGAGAGACACCTGCCTGTTTCCTCTTTGGAGCCATCCAGTTGCACCGCAAAATCAACGACTGGGGTAGAAATTCCAGCCTCCCTCTCAGTCTCTGAGAATTTTATGTTTGTACAGCAGACAATCTTCTTGGAAGGATTTTCTGAGCAAACAAAGCCACCGTGTGTAGTCAATGGCCCAGGTTTTACATCGTTCCAGGGTTGCAGGAGGAGAGGGCTGAGGCTGGGCTTCCTTCCCAGTGGCCTCCACATCCCCCTCTCATCTGCCCGCTGACTTTGTCTCCTCTCTGCAGCGTGGAGCAGCCCCTGCCTCCGAGGCACCTCTGTCCTGGCTGCTTTCTGGGCGCTGCCGGCTCAGCTGGGGACACAGTAGCTGGTGGGTGGGGCTGGGACCCTGACCTGGTTCCATGTGCCACTCTCTCCCTAGGGAAGGCCTTCCTGAGAAAGATGGATGGGGACCACTGGCTGCTTTTTAAAAATTAATAAACTCTATTTGGGGGGCAGTTCTATGTTCACAGGGAAATTGAGCATAGTACAGAGTTTCCATACACCCCTCGGCAGCACCCACCCAGGCCCCAGGGCTGACACCTGGTGATGCTGCAGCCATGCGTTGTCAGGACTCAGCCACAGTGGACACTGGGGCCCTTTACCACATCTGTGGGATCACAGGAGCATTGTCAGGAGCTCAGCCACAGTGGACGCTGGAGCCCTTTACCACATCTGTGGGATCACAGGAGCGTTGTCAGGAGCTTAGCCACAGGGGACGCTGGGGCCCTTTGCCACATCTGTGGGTTGGTAGGAGCATTGTTGGTAGCTCAGCCGTGGTGGACGCTGGGCCCTTTGCCACGTCTGTGGGTTCTCAGGAGCATTGTCGGGAGTTTAGCCATGGTGGATGCTGGGACCTTTTACCATGTCTGTGGGTTCTCAGGAGTGTTGTTGGGAGCTCAGCCACGGTGGATGCTGGGACCCTTTACCACTTCTGTGGGTTCTCAGGAGGAGCATTGTCGGGAGTTTAGACACTGTGGACGCTGGGCCCTTTGCCACATCTGTGGGTTCTCAGGAGTGTTGGGAGCTCAGCCACGTGGACGCTGGGCCGTTTGCTGTGTCTGTGGGTTCACAGGAGCATTGTCGGGAGCTCAGCCATCGTGGACGCTGGACCCTTTGCCACGTCTGTAGGTTAGCTGGAGCATTGTCGGGAGCTCAGCCATGGTGGACGCTAGCCCCTGTGCCACATCTGTGAGTTCTCAGGAGCATTGTTGGAAGCCCAGCCATGGTGGACACTGGGGCACTTTGCCACATCTGTGAGTTCTCAGGAGCATTGTCGGGAGCTCAGCCACGGTGTACACTAGCCCCTGTGCCACATCTGTGGGTTCTCAGGAGCATTGTTGGAAGCCCAGCCATGGTGGACACTGGGGCACTTTGCCACATCTGTGAGTTCTCAGGAGCATTGTCGGGAGCTCAGCCACAGTGGACAGTAGGCCCTTTGCCACATCTGTGGGTCAGTAGGAGCGTTGTTAGGAGCTCAGCCACGGTGGACATTGGGGCCCTTTGCCACGTCTGTGGGTTCTCAGGAGCATTGTTGGAAGCCCAGCCACGGTAGACACTAGCCCCTGTGCCACATCTGTGGGTTCTCAGGAGCATTGTTGGGAGCTCAGCCACGGTGGATGCTGGGCCTTTTGCCATGTCTGTGGGTTGGCCGGAGTGCGGTGCCTGGGACCCAGTGTAGTGTCTAGGCTGGTGCCGGATCGGCAGCCAGGTCCTCTTGTTCGTTTCCTGTGGGAATTTGTGCCTTTTCTCTTTTGTTCTTGGTAGCCTGGTTAGAAGCTTATTAATTTTATTGATCTTTCAAGGAGTTTGCCTTTGGCTTTGATTTTTCTCTGTTGATTTCTGATCTGACTGCTGCTTTCTGTTCTTCGGTTCTGTGTTTAGTTTACTCATTTTTTCTCAGTCTCCCAGCCCTAAGCAGAGGTCAGTGTTTGGATTTCTCTTCTGCTCTAGTCTACGCGGCTGGCACTCCAGCTTCTCCCCACCCTGAGCATGGCTCTTACTGCATCCCACAAATTTAGACGAGTAACACTTTTATTTCTGTTTATTCCAGAAGGGTTTAAAATTTGTCTTGTGTTCTCTGATCTGCGTGTGATTTAGAATTGTGTTGTTTAACCTCTGAATGTTCTGGTATTGTCCAGCCCGCCGGCACTGGCACCTTTAGATTTACGCACTGGCTTTTCTGGAAGGACAAAGGGCCTTCCAGGGGTGGGTTGGTTTGTTCCCACTCCCGAATCAGCAGAAGACGGAAGCAGCACAGTCGCCCAGTTGGGAGGGATTCCCGCTGCAGGAACAGGAGCAGCCTCAGGACCTGACCGGGAGCCGGGAGAGCACGGGGCGGAGGGGTGGTGTGGGTTGCAGCCTGCTCCTGGGGGCCACGGCCCCCATGCGGTTGTCACTCATTCTGAAGCTCCTAAACATGAACAGAGCAAATCTGAACACTTCTGCCTGGAGGGGTTGGCGCCTGGTGTTACTTTGAGAATGGGAACGAAGCAGTGAAATTCTTGGTTATTCTTGTATCAGGCACTTTCTCCTGTCTTTGGTGTCAAGGGCACTCCTGTGGCCCATGGAGAGCAGGGTCCTCTGGCAGGTGTGAGGACCACACGCGACACTGCTCAGCTCTGAGCTCTGGCCACCGCGGGAAGAGGAGCTGTGGTCTTGGCGGAGCCTTTGCTGTCATTTTAGGCACTAGCTTTTCCTGCCCACAGTGCTGGCGTGGGATTGGTGGCCACCTTCTCGGCCCAATGTCCTTGTGGCCCGTCAGGACCTGCTCTGAGGTTGGAGCCACAGGGCGGGAAGGCCACACCCCACCTCTGGGCCCTAGAGTCTCAGGACAGCAGCCGAGGCCCCACAGACCCTGTTCCATACTCCCTATAAACACTGGGTCAAGTGTGGGGTGCCGTGGGGCTGCACCACCGCATGTCCAGTGAGGGCTGGAGGTGCGGAGGGCATTATGTCTGCTCCCTGACAAGTGGCTTCGGATGGGCAGGCAGAGTGGGAGCCCAGCAGGGCCACAGCAAGTGGCGCACATGCAGACACTGGGGTCATCCATCCCCCAGGCGCTCAGGACACTTTGCAGATGCCCTTATGTCTGGGGCTCACGCACTGTGCAGCAGAGTGAAATGCCGGCATGGGGACTGTGGTGGGGACAGGCCCTGGCCTTGCCGGAGCCTCAGGAGCAGAAGCTCAGGGTTGAGCCTGGCAGAGCGCCTGATGCATAGATGGGTCTGTGTTTATCCCATCCATTCAGTGCCATTCAGACTGGAGCAAATGCAGGCACAGTGGCACGCACAGACAAATGCACAGAGCCACACACTCAGACAGGTACACACAGACAGATACACACAGCAGCACGCACAGACAGGTACACACAGCTGCACATACAGACAGGCACACACAGCCGCACACTCAGGTACACACAGCGGCATGCACAGACAGGTACACACAACTGCACAGACAGGCACACACAGCAGCACACACAGGTACACACAGCTGCATGCACAGACAGGCGCACACAGCCACACACTCAGGTACACAGTGGCACACACATATAGGTACACACAGCCACATACACAGACAGGTGCACACAGCTGCATACTCAGGTACACACAGCGGCACGCACAGACAGGTACACCCAGCAACATAGACAGGCACACACAGCTGCACGCACAGACAGATGAGCACACACAGGCACACACCAACAGGCACACACAGTGGCACACACAGGCACACACAGCAGCACACACAGACTGGCACACACAGGCACACACAGCAGCACACACAGACGGGCACACACACACACAGTGGGATGCACAGACATGCACACAGGCATGCACACACAGCAGCACACACAGAGAGGCACACACAGATAGACGGGCACACACAGTGGCACACACAGACAGGCATGCACTTACAGTGGCACGTACAGACGGGCACACACAACCGCACATACAGTGGCACATAGAGACAGACAGATCTGTAGAGAGACAGGAGGACCCTCGGGGTGGCCTTGCTGTCTGCTCTGCTGGGAGCCCCTGTGAGCCTTGCTCTCTGCGTGAGCTCTCTGAGGTTGCAGCGGGCCTCCATCAGCCTTGCAGAGGGAATGTAAAGGCAGGTGGTGGCCCCTGCTCGGGAGACGGCTGTGCTCCCCTCTGCCTTGCCCCGACAGACATGCAGAAGCAGCCTGCAGTGCCAGTGTGTTTGGGCAGCTTCACTGAATGACCATCTCTCACACAGTTGGACCCCTCAGTTCTGAGGCAGTGGCCTGCTTTCAGCCTAGAGCCGGGAACCTGGGCAGCCACATAGGGCCGAGTGGTCAGGCAGTCAGCTCTCCTGAAAGAAGGCCACAGCCTCCCGGGGGGTGGAGCAGAGGGGCTGGATGTGCCCTTGGCAGGGGCAGCGCAGAGCCACTTGCTACCTTTGCCTTCTGGGCGTTCCCTGGACTGCACAGCCCCTGACACCCCGACCTGTGCCTTGCAGGGCAAAGTCCACCTGGAGCTGCGGCTGAGTGAGGTCATCACGGACACTGGGGTCGTCTGCCACAAGCTCGCCACACGGTAAGACACGTCCTCACCAGGGAACGAGCGTAGCAAGTGGCACGTCTGACTTCCTGTGGAGCACACAGGATCTTCAAACAAATGCATGAAAATTTCCAGAGCCGGTGGCTCCCCAGGATGATGCTGTTTTAGAGGTCCTGGCTCCCAGGATGACGCTATTTTAGAGGTTCTTGTCCCCCAGGATGACGCTGTTTTTAGAGGTCCTGGCTCCCAGGATGACGCTGTTTTAGAGGTC